CACCTTACAGACCGATAAGATATATATCCTCCAAGGAGGACACGACCTTACAAGTATCCAACGTACTATCCTTCACAAATGCCAACATGACAAATACCCTACTCAACGCAGACCACCCATCACCCCTCCTGTCTTATAACATATACATTCCTTACACACACTTCATAGCCATCTTTCACACAATCCCATCATTTCCATACACGATAGTAAATATCTCAGGGAGAGCGCCGCACCCATTGACAATGCTTTTACATACTTACATATCCAGTCATCACAAACCCACCAGCACAGGCAGTAGGAGAACAATAAAGAGCTTTTTGAACATTAAAGCATGGAGACATGTCCCAGTAGAGACATAGTAAAATGAAACCTGAAAATGTGCATAACAGGGCCAGTTTAATTGGAAAAACAGAGACTAAAATATAAAAACAGTAAGACTTTGGGTTTGTGTTTAAAAGAGAACTAGACTTTTTTGTAATCTTGAGTTCATTCTCAGAAAGTAAGCGTGACTTTTCCCAACAAAGAGAAATGTATACAGTTTTTTAGGATTTCCTTTTTGCTCCTCCATGTCCTCGAGCCTTCAGAGCCACCAGCACAAAGTTTCTGGGAGAAAGGTTTGGGTCGAAGAGAGGAACCAGCCGACTGTCCACACCTGCAGGAAGAGGAAGATTCAGTTATTAAAATGCACATACAAATAGATAAAGGGCCTGTATTGAAATAATTTAAACTTTTCAGAAAGCGCTGCCAACGACACTGTATGAAATGTTATCGTGCTGTAGTTCCTTTATAGCCCAACATTAGCCTCCTTTAGCTTAGCGGTGGTGACGTGAAGTCATGTGACCGTGCTGTAGTTCCTTTATAGCCCAACATTAGCCACCTTTAGCTTAGCGGTGGTGACGTGAAGTCATGTGACCGTGCTGTAGTTCCTTTATAGCCCAACATTAGCCACCTTTAGCTTAGCGGTGGTGACGTGAAGTCATGTGACCGTGCTGTAGTTCCTTTATAGCCCAACATTAGCCACCTTTAGCTTAGCAATGGTGACCTGAAGTCATGTGACCGTGCTGTAGTTCCTTTATAGCCCAACATTAGCCACCTTTAGCTTAGCGGTGGTGACGTGAAGTCATGTGACCGTGCTGTAGTTCCTTTATAGCCCAACATTAGCCACCTTTAGCTTAGCGGTGGTGACGTGAAGTCATGTGACCGTGCTGTAGTTCCTTTATAGCCCAACATTAGCCACCTTTAGCTTAGCGGTGGTGACGTGAAGTCATGTGACCGTGCTGTAGTTCCTTTATAGCCCAACATTAGCTTCTACAAAAATCATAAAGTGGTGTTAATATGTGAAGATTATCCTGCTAAATGAAACTTGTAACTATCATAAACGTTTGTTTGGACACAGAGATTATTTTCTTCACAAAATCCAATGGAAAAATCCCATTGGCTCGTTGACAAGGGCACTAGGGAAATGCTAACTTCCATGTTTGCCTAAAACAATGCGTCGTCACTCTAACAGATAAAGGCTGTGCAGTAATAGACAGAATAGAAATAGAAAAAAAACACAATCTTGCATTTTATTCATCAGGTTCCCAGGCAAGTAAATAATCAGGAAGGGTCTAAAAAGCAATTTATGCCTGCAAGTCAAAATAGTGGGAATATCACCCACGCTTCCTCACCTTTCCCATGACCTGAACCTTCTTCTCTGCCCCTGAGCAAGGCAGTGATCCTGCAGGGAGGATGCACTGAGGCTGACCTCCACCTCGCTCTGATGGAGCTTCTGTTGTGGTCTTTGTGTCCATGTGATTCATCCAATCAGAGATAAGACTGCATCATGTGTCACTTTGATCTAAAAAGACCTGTTGTGATCAGATCACTCGGGACGGTGAAGTAAATTGAGGTTGTTTTTTAGTACGTGTGAGAATTTTGAAGTTAGTGCTGACAACAGGAACCCTAGTGTTACACATTTATTGCACATTTTGTTGGTTTTTTAGGGCTGTATCTGGTTGTTATTTGGATTTAATGAGATGTTGTGGAGCAAATAAAACGTAAAATCCATTAAATTCATAAAAAGTAACACTAGCATAAAAGAAATGGCTTCACATCTCCACCTGAATAACACAACTTGGTGCCAGACCATGAGAGGGATATTATGAAACTATAACTGATCATTTAAATAAGTAAATAAAATGAGCATTTTAGTTTGATAATTGGTTATCCAAAAACTCTTAAAAAGAGTAATGAGGGCTATTTGGTGGGAACTGGCCCTTGTGAAGATTCTAACTATAATGTGAGGGGTAAAATGTTTGTTATAAAGAAATAAAACATGGTATTCTACGGCGCTTATTTTCCATATAAATTACAATTTATTCATATACATAATTTCAAAAAACATAGGCAGAACACATTAAATAAAATATGGATAAATAAAGGGGGAAAAAGCGTTAAAGTTCAAACTAGAATTCAGTCCCACACTGAACCTTATTTTGGCTGCTTCTGAATCCTTTTAATGTGTGTGAACTACATCTGGCACACACACACACACACACACACACACACACACACACACACACACACTCACACACACACACACACACACACACACACACACACACACACTATAAAACAGGCCTGTAAAGCTGTTACTGTTGGATAGTAAAAACTGCAAACTCAACAATAAGACGCATTTCTGTCGACAAGGAAACAGGAACACAGAGAGAGGAATGCTGAGGCTCGTAAACACACACACACACACACACACACACACATACACACATACACACATACACATACACACATACACACATACACACACACACACAGTTTAAGAGCGAAGTGCTGGGTGAGAACACGCCAGCTCAGCAATCCAAACACAATGTTAGATCCTCTCAGACTGTGAAGAAAAACACAATATACGTCTCACACCTTTTTTGTATATTGTCTGTCCATATCTAGCTTTACAAATACATTTGACCTGTTGAGTTCACACAGAAACCTGCAAAGGAGATCTGAAAAAAACGACTGAGCTATCAAAAAGGGGATGTGGGAGAGAAACCCCCCTCTGGAGGAACACAGGGATTTGAGGCTCTGCAGACCATTTACATACACTAAAACCTACAGAACACTCCATCTGTCCAGAGACTAAAGACAGCCTCTTGACTGTCCCTTTAAAGTTCACCTATTGTGCAAAATCCACTTCTTCATGTCTCTTCTACATCAACATGTGTCCCCTCTTCTTCATGTCTCTTCTACATCAACATGTGTCCCCTCTTCCTCGTGTCTCTTCTACATCAGACTGCCAAGGCACACG